ACTTTTCGCAGAGTATCTCAGGCAGAAATCGCCATTTCCACCACGCTGGACTCACACGTGTGATCTTTCCCGAGTTTAGACCACCATCGTACGTAGTTGCTAATCCGAAACGTTTGAATGTTTTTGTACGAGTGAGCCCCGCGCCATCGATTTTAATTGAGCCCGTCCCGCCTGGATCGGTGTCATGGACTCGGTCATCCAGCCGAATTAACCTGAGCCCAAACTTCGCCAAGCGATCAGCCCAAGCTCGCACTTGTTGCTCTAGTGCGCACTTTTCAACGCATCCGAGAGCACATCATGAGCGTAAGCAAGCGTCCAAGGAATTTTTTTTCTAAAGATCTCGCGTAATGGCATCCACAATCACGAAAAGGAGTGGAAAGAGACGGGGCCTCCATGTAACCCAACGGTGATTGGAAATTCCATCGAAGTGCCTGGAGTGCCTGCAGATAACCACACTTGGCTCTCCGGGTTTGAATGAAGGATGCGCACTCACTTAATTATTCCTTCAGAAAAGCCGTGCTTCGTGAGGCGTGCAACATAACTTTATGCGGCACGCGATCAAATGCCTTATCCAGATCTACGAAGGTTACATGCACGGAGTTTTGCTTTTCGCGATGTTTCTCCGGCAAATGGCGAGCGGCAATGAAGTCAATAGTGCTGCAGCCCGTCAAGAAGCCACCTGATTGGTGGTCAGGTGGACGATATCACGAACATGGCCGTCAACGCTTCGTTCGAAGGTTTTCATGGTAAGCGAAAGTAGGCGAGTTGGATGGTACGTTGTGCAATCTGCCTGACTGCCGTTCTCCTTCCAGATCGGGACATTCGTGCTCTGCAACCGGCCCTTGGGCACCTTCTTCTCTTCGATGATCTGGTTGAAAGCTTCGTCAACCACTCGGCAAAAAACCAGCGTTGCGACTCCCACAAATCTGCTGTCAGTCGCTGGGGTCTGCCTTCACCTTCTTTAGAGCTGCCTCTGTTCCTATACTGATATGTTGTGAATGGGAACTATGTCGGTACCGGCCAGAGGATAGCCGGATGGGTGAATTCTACTGCTGCGATGCTCTCAACGTATTCACGCCGTCATTGCATTCTCCTTTTCCGAGCCTTCGGAAGATGGCCATTTTCGTCATTAAAAAAAACTCCATAACTTCGATTTGGCAGTGACGAGATTCGGCAAGTTGGTACAGTTACAGTTGGTGCTAAACGTCGCCCGTCTTCAGTTTCTAATTACCATCATGGAAATGAGCGGCTTTCACGGCAGCCACAATCTTCTTTGCAGCACCTCTCGTTTGCTAGCAATCCCACGGAGGTATCAGCACACCTATGCTCGAGAAACACGTGGTAGAGTCTGTTCTCGCGGACGCTCACTTTGACGAGGTCCATCACCGAGCCTCCTTGTTAATATTCCGCCGTGCAGGCTCTGTTGTGCTGAGTTCGGAGCAAATGGCCACGTTTATCAATTCAAAGGCTCCTTTCCGAGTTTTGTCGTCAGTTTTGGCCTTAGGTAATCGAATGCGAGATAGAATTTACAGCGCCGTCTGTAGCCTCCTTCAGCCGGCCAAAAACTCAAAAAGCATAGGTCGCGATTATTCGCTATCACAGATAGCGGAGATTTGCATAAGGTTCCGAGTAACTCGATGGTGAAGAACAAAAGCAGAAAAAAAAAACATGCCAGCTGCTAGATAAAACTCAAGCTGATCGCAATTTGTAGGTACCCAACTAACTCCATCTCCAGCACTACGCCTTCATCCGGCACAGCTGATTCCCTGATAAGAACTCCACGACCGTACACGTGACTTTTCATCTTTTTCGCCCGGCAGTTCCGTTTTTCAATGAAAGGCGGGCCTTGAAGTCTAGAGGCGGAGTCACTGGAAAAAAGAAGGCGTCACTGAACTTATATTGCGCTATCGCGCCCCTCCCTTACAAGATCCCGCAAGGACGGGAGAGAGGAGGGACAGGACGGGAGATCACGATCTTGGGAGGAAAAATCCCCATGGAATTTTGCCGCATAACCAGTACAAGGTTGTTCGCCGCGGACCACACTGTTCTCCTTAACTTCTATACCTGATCAGAGACCGTGCCTTGGATTCTCTCGGGACCGCATCGTTGCAACTGCTTCAGTCTGAGAGGTGCAATGAAGTGTACAGAATGAAATGAAAAGCGGCACGTACCGCTGCTGACAGGAATGCGGATCAGCTGATCGAAAGTGGCCACTGTGTTTAAGGAGAGTACAAGAGAACAAATGAGCACCAGGCGGTTGCTGTGTTATAAAATAGCAACAGGACTGTTCTCCGAGCATTGCGGGATATTATGACGCCTGTTTCTGTCACAGTGGTCACAGTGGTACGCCCCATACTCTCCCAAAACATTAGCGGCGGATCTTAGCCATCCATGGCTCCATGGCTGCGTTTCTCGACCAGCATTGGAGCGTTATTGCGAAGCTAGCACCTCGTAGCCTGTTTGATGCTGATCCGTACATCACGCCTGCGTACGATCGGCGTCGACCATGCGTTAAACACGTCGACCGGCGCCTGCTCGCGCAATGTCGCGAAGTCTGAATGCGCTCTAGGCGGCGTTCATACCTCGCGACACCCACTGCATTAACTGTGATGGCTTCATCCTCCGCGTCCACAGAACGCTATTACAACCGACATGCTCCACCTGCTGGTTAAGAAAATCTCACTGATGAAGAGGCGGATTATTCAGAAAGCAAAGAAAAACTTTCGGAAGTACGTTCTGCTACCAAGTAACGCTTCCACAACATCCTACAACAAATATCAAATTATGTAACAATCTCAAATTACTGTAGAAATGGAGCGGAGCAGATGTTGTTCACGGAGTAAAGTCTCTAGCGCTCATTCAAAGACGATTCCCGCGCTCAGGTGCATACTCTAGCTCGCTGCGTACGGTTGGGCGTGTCAGGCAGTATGCCCCATCAAAGCCGTTCTCTGCCTTCTTGTTGAAGCGCGCATGCGACAAAAGTGGTAGAAAACGAGTAATACGAACGATATGATACAGTCATATCACTTGCTCGCTTTAACAACTGGTGGAGAACGGGTTTGGCACCGCGCCAAACTCATCCGCCTGACACGCCCAACCGTCCGCAGTGAACTACGCTATATTACAGGTGTGACTGTTCAGTTATGAACCATGAGCCGATAAGACTAATCAGCAAAGAAGGACGCAAAAAAACCCTTGAGAATTCCTTTAATAGAACCTTCCAGACAACCACGCAACCTCTCTGTACGATTTCTCTGAACTTGCTGGCAACTCGACACTCTGCGGCCACTGTGTAATCCCTGGCCCACACATTACTTCCTCTCACCTGCCGGTAATAAATACCATTCAGAACTAGGAATGAAAACGAAAAGCAAATAAGAAACGGAAAATAGCTTTCGAAACTAGTGAGCAAACTGCAGTAAAGAATGCATGACGAGCTGTCTCATCGAATTGTTCGCATCGCTGCTGAGTTTGAGCACGCTAAGACCATTTCGCTTTGTGAGGCTGACTGTTACTACTTGCTTACTTCAAGAAAGGTATCCAGGAGAAGCAAAACGACTTGCGAGTTCGCAAAAGAGTCGACAAGTTGATAACTAATGCGACGAGCAGATGAAATCATCCTACGACGCACACCGCATACAACAAAATGCACACACGTAATTCACTGTGTAACTCGTTGTTTTGCAAACTGAAAAGAACAAAGCGAGAACAGCCACAAGTTTTCAGCTGCTTAATCTCGACCTTTCGAATAATTAAAGTATTTCAGTCCCTGCGACCACTTGATCACGGGCATTTTCTTCAACGGAGACGCTACACTAACATTCCACCTGCGTGCAAACACCTTGAATAACATTTTAAAACATAGTCACTTCATACAATGTCTGAGGCCTTGCAGAACATTCGAATCACCACGGACTAATAGGCGTTAATTGATTCAGAGAACCTATGAGTGAGAGCATCGGAAAACCCTCGAAAAAGATCGGGTATGAACTGGTTGACTCCACTCAAGTGAAGGCTCGGAGGTATTGGGACGTTTGGAATCCGCGAAAAAATAATCCGAAAAGGAAAATGTATAAATGTTACAGCTCGAGGAATCCAGGAGTTCAGAGCCTGGAACCGCTAACAGGGTTCTTTAGGCTAATAGGTCTCGTGTTCCTTCCTCTGATTCTCCAAGTGGACGGGGTCAGCAAAATCGACACGCAACTTAATGCATTCCGCTGGTCTTCCAGATCCTCTGATCTCGAATGACGGAAAACGACTTGATGGAATTGCGGAATTTCGGCATTTTTGCGGAGTCCGCATTGCCCTGACTTGAGCCGACACATGTGCTTTCTTCTACCTTCTTTCTTCATTTTTGCAGATCGATACCTGTACTTCCTTTCCTCTGCAGAATTTGCACTTCTTCCTATTCGGTTTTTAAAATCGATACGTATTCTTTCTTTTATCTGCAGTTTCGTCATTCCCCGAACTCGTTGTGGATGAATTCACCTCCACCACCCATTCTTTCATTTTCTCTGCAGTGGCGCCGAAACTTGGCGTCAAGTGTACCGTAACATGTTCATATTGCGGAATGCGCTTTTTATGACGTCTAGTTTCATGTTGAACTGTTTAAATTGTTATTTTCGTCCGATGGCAGCTCCATCAACGTGCAGGTTAGCCGTATTGTTACTACTTGACCTTTTAGAAGTCAGTTTAATCGTTTGAAAGCCTTTGATAATCTGAATTGTAGATGAGTAGCAAAAAGAAGGTGCAGAAGAAGAAAGGCAAGACTAAAGATGTAACTGATGATTTTGACGATCTTGTAGAAAATGCCAACGATGATGGATGTGGCTTGTCCCGGAAGTACGCTACGGATATCATAAGGTGTAGGATTTTGGACACTGTTTTCTTGTATTCAGTTTAAGAAGTGTTTGTTCAGATTAATCAAGTGCCATTCAAAGCCATTGAATAAAGTTGCAGCGGAATTTGTTGAGGTGAATGTCTACATCAACTTTATGCATGGGCATCTGAGAGCGACATAAACAGCGAACCTTATGTAGATCTTCAAAGAACGATGTTCGTTAGTGGTCGGCATGGCGTTGTTGGCG